CGCAAGACACACTGCAAAGGGAATTTTGTGGATCAGATGAACCAGATGTGTAAAATTAACTCTGTGTTCCAGGCTTGATTGACTGGCAAAGTAACAACAGCATGAGTTTTGGAGGAAAGATCAGTTTAAACTCTAGTGAGTTGAGAGAAACAAGCAAGATGTCCAGAAAGAACGTGTAAGACAGCTGTGATAAGATGGTAGTTCAGTGGGCTTGAACGGATGTGTTCAAAGAGTAAAGATAAGAGCAGAAACAAGAACCTCCTCCCAGTTGCTAAAACTGTATTTTCATTAACTGCCAAGAGCACGCTTCTTCCTCCATCGAAATGCTGGCAGCCTCGCAGCCAGGAATGCAAAGACGCTCCCTACTCTCTCCCCTATACAACACTTGTTACAAGGCAGAGCAGGTTTCGTTGACACTTACAGTGTCGTAACAGCAAGTGAAGAGAATTAAGTTTCCTGGAATCACGTTATAGTATATAAGGGAAAACAGTTACAGTGATTTTTTTCCTTCAGAATTTAGAGAGAACATTTCTCCACAGATGCACTGCGTAGATCTCCATAAAACTGCAAATAATTTTTTCTCCGGCAGAGGTCAGCAAAGCCTCAAATTTAAATAAAATCTTTCCACATCTTTTAACACAGAATTTCTCTTCAAGTACGCTTAAACAGTAAGCAGTTCTCTTGTGTTTAAGACTAACTCTATCCCCTCCATTTTTTATTTAGGAAATTCGGGTTTACATTAATAAAATGGAACAGACACACACACACACAGAGAGAGAGGTATATAGAATACAAATGAATGTATTTTCACAGCAAATTCTAATAATAATCAAAGGGTTTCTGCAGTATCCGCTTCTTACAATATAAAATTATTTGAATGATGTGTCATCAAGTATCTGGCTTCTCTGTGAACCAGTGCACTTTAGGTAAATGGGAAAATATATTCATTTTACAAGCAGCAAGATGCAACTAAACCATTTGCACAAATTCAGGTGACAAGTAAATTGCAGGCTTAGGAGCCTTAGGATTTTACTTTTTTCTATTTTTACATCTCATAGCAATGTTTTTATAATAAGTGGAAATTGCTTACATTCTGTTTGCCAAAAAGCTAAATTATAAGTAGAAAATTAAGCAAATAAGAGGTAGTCTGGGATGAAAAACCCACTACTGTTCATATATGTATTTTACATACATACATGAACATATAAGAATAGCACAACACAAGCCCCTTCTTTGGGTTACTGGCTGATCACGCATTGCAGACTTTGTGTACTCTTTCAACATTTTTGTACAGTCACACACCATATAAAAGTGTCTTGTTACAGAACACCCACACAGCAGAATTAAGACTTTTTGTTGCACACGCACAGGAAACAGCAACAGCTTTTCCATTTAAAAAGAACGGTGAATAAGGAAGCAATTCAATCGTGTCCTTTCCTGGTCACCAAGCAGCAGGGAAACACTCAGCCAGAAACTAGTCCTGGTTCAAGATAAGTAACAATACCTACTTTTTTTATCTGTTTTTATTCACAAAAGCTATTATTCTGTCATGATTCAGACCTAACCTGAATAATCCACGTGTATTAAATCTGCAGCTATGCAGAAAATTAACTGTCAGAAGAAACAGTCAGAACTATTTATTAGAACACTACTTTTTTAGGAAAAGATTTACTCGTGTCAAAGAAGCTGTCACATCAAATAAAGAAATTGACATTGATCTCTTCATAATTTGGAAGGAAGTGCAATTTGCAGGAAATTCGTAAGGCAATCACTTTTCATTAACACTAGCAAGGAACTAATGCATCAAGCCCTAAGAACAGAGACTAGGCCCCCTCGAATAAGCAATGAAACAACAGCA